TATAGTCTAATAAACATGAACTATTACATATGAACATTTCATCTTTACCAACTTGATGCCAATGTTCAAAAAAAAAAATGTTTATACTGGACTTGCCTGTTTTCAGCCCATTCAGTCACGTGATCCCCTCTATCTTCCAGCGTTGGCTGCCGAAGAGAGGAAAGAGTTCTGACCATTCCCCAGTATTTCCATATTTGTTCTATTGAGTAAGAAGATTGCGTCTTACAGCCCCTGCTAGCTCAGGCTTTTCATGGAGATTACAAATTGGAGACATTTGAATACCTTTTCCTATTGCTGGTGTATTCCCTCCTTTATATGCTGCATCAGCGATGTCTACAGAAGGCTTCCAGGGCCTAATTGTGAATGGCTGCCAAAGGAGAGCATTCATGTTAAAGGGATATGCTGGTACAGATACTTGCAAGTCCAACTATCCTCTGCTATTTATAACCAGCTTAGGTCAGGACTATACTGGATGCCAAAAACTGCCTTTTCTAATCCTTAAGCCACAGGTAGCCTTTTCTTCTTCTTTTTGAATACTTTGTTTAATTTCTTTAATCATTTTTTTTTATTTTAGGACAGACAGTGGAACATTCTTTACCTTGTACAGAATGCATTAAACAACATTTGTATTTTAGAACCACTTTAAAGCGGAACCCCAGGCACAAGACACAAATTAATGCAGCTCTGTAATCATTAATGCATCACTTGCCCCCAAACATATACTTTTTTTTAGCAGAGACCCTAGAAAATAAAATGGCAGTAGTTGCAATTTTTTATGTCACATGGTATTTGTGCAACAATTTTTCCAACAAATTTTTTTGGGAAAAAATAAATGTTTAAAGAATTTTAATGTGAAAAAACACAATATATAACCCATTTTGTTTTGGTGTTATGCCAAGTAAATCGATACCAAACCTGTCGCACTTTAAAATTGCACACACTCATGGAATGGCGCCAAACTACAATAATTAAAAATCTCCATAAGCTAGGTTTAAAATTTTGCTCAGGTTACCAGTTTAGTCCAGTGCTAGAATTATTGTTCTTGCTATAGCGATCGCGACTTTACCTCACATGTGTAGTTCGAACGATGTTTACATATGCAGGCGCTTTAAATTGTTATTTTTATTATTTTTTGTTTTTAAACTCTCCCTTTTTTTCTATCACTTTTATTCCTATTACAAGGAATGTAGAGATCTCTTGTAATAGGAATAAGGCATGACAGGTCCCCTCTATGGAGAGATCTGGGGTCTATAAGACCTCCTCTATGCTGGAAAGCATGAGATAGAAAATAAAATCGATCTCTGCTTTCCAGCAAAAAAAATGGCAGTGTTTACATCTGCCAGAGCTGGAAGTGATGTCATGACGTCTCTTCCAGCCTCCCAGGGTCATAGAGACGGTCGGGGACCATCTGGTCCTCAGCAGTCTCTTTGTTTAAACTAGTGCCGCCTGACGTCTCCTCCTGCCACCCGTAAAAACAATCCAGTGGCTAATGAGCCGCTAGGACAGCTTTTACATAGGAGGGAATTTCCGGCTCAAAAAAAAGATATCTGGATGGTGCTTGTAGCTGCAAGCATCATCCAGATATCTACACTTAAACCCGAGAACGTCATATGACGTCCTACTAGCAGGAAGTGCTTAATATGAATGCAAGCATAGCAAGTACCTGAGTCTGACTTGAATCTTCAGCCTCTTGCATTCCCTGTGCAGAAGTCCTCAGACTGGGGGAGGGAGAAGCGGCTCAAGGAGCCAATCAGCTCATATGCTGACAAGGAGCACGCAGATAGGAGGAGAGAGCAAAGTGATAGAGAGATAAGCTCATAACTGTGCTGCTTCTCCATTCACTGTCCAGTTACAGGTAAAGACATGAAAAGTCTGGGGACCTTCACAGAAGGAAGTGTACAGAATATTGTACACAAATGCAGCCTTTGCTGTTTGGGCTCCTCAGAGGTGCCATGGCAAAATGCTAAAAAGTGTTGTTCTGTGTTTGAAAAAAAAAAAAAGTCCACACTGTGTCCTTGCTTTCCCCTCAGCAGGGGTTGGGGGCTGTCTGTGGCTCTTTCTTCTCTCCAGAGAAAAATATTGGAATTCTCCTCCCCCACCTTCTCCCCAGGCACCCAGAAGTGGTGTTGGGACCTCCCGTACACGTGGCTGCTATGGATGATTCGGCAGTTGAAGATGGAGGAGCAGGGATAGTAGCCCCATACGTCTTTAATCTTCAGTGGTGCCATAAATAGCTGATGGAGGAAACTTCCCCAGCAGGAATTCTATATGTCCACCCACTGACTGCCACCACATACTGCTCGCTGACCACCCTACTGCTGCATACTGCTCACTACTACATACTGCTCGTTGACCACCCTACTACTGCATACTGCTCACTGACCACCCTACCACTGCATACTGCCTTATCCTGCCACTACATACTACTCACTGGTTTTTGCAAGGCAACTCTGCTTCATAAATTATTGACCACTGAATTCTGCATCACCATCTACTGACC